TTTTATAAATTACATTTTTTGTACTTTCAATTTTGTCATGAGATTTTGTTACTGAAATTTTGCTTCTAATTGTATTTTCAGTTTTGGAGATAGTCCTAATATTAATTTTTTTACCTACTCGTTTAATTTGATCTGAAAGTCCTGGAATAAATGGAATGAAAAGGTTTATAATAGGTTTATTTTGATTTTGTTTTGTTTGTGGAAATTCAATTTCGTTTAAACATTTTTCAATAAAAGAATTTTGATAATTATTGAAGTTTAAAATTTCTTTGATAAATTGTTTTTTTTTTTTAATTAGATTGATTACAAATTATTTTTGCTCTATCATATAGACTTTTCACGATACCTTTTTTTACCATTATCGGGTGATTTGAGTTGAAATTCAAATATCAGTTAGTATGAGTAGGTTTTCTATAGACCAAGGTTTCGAAATTGTCTAAATTTTTCTGAATCAGTATATCGAGAAAAGGAATTTGGTGATTTTGTTCTTTTTCGATAGTGAATTTAATTGTTGGTTCTTTATTATTCAGATAAGATAAAAATTCATCAAGTTTTTGTTCGCCATGACTGTAAATAGAGAATACGTCATCAATATAACGCCACCAAATTATTGGCTTAAATTTGTAACTATTAATGAAAGTTGATTCAAAATTTTCCATAAATAAAATACTGAAAAATGGGGATAGTGGATAGCCATTCCAAATTTTTGCTGATAAAAATTGTCATTGAATTGAAAATAAGTTAATGCTTAGTTGTGTGCATTCTTTAAGATTGACGTCATTTTGTAATTTTTGTTTGATTGATTGATATTTAAAGTTTCATCAACAGGACCGTTAGTGAATAGACTAACATCAAAACTTACTAGAATATGGTTTGGATTTATGTCTATGTTTGATAATTTTTGTAAAAAATATTTAGAGTTTTCAAGTTCAAGTTGGGCTATTTATCAGGGGATTTAAAATGTTTAAAATATATTTGGCTAAGGGATGTGTAGGTGAACTTACACTACTAACTATTGGTCGTAAAGGAATATTAACTTTATGAATCTTTGGAACTCCGTAACAATCAATGTGTTAATTTTGATCTAACGTAACCTGTGAATTCATGTTTAATTTTTTTTAAAGTGTTATACATTTGATTTTCAAAACGTTCTGTTGGATTTTTGTTTAATTTTGAATAACTTTTGTCATTTAAAAGTTAATTAATTTTTTGATTATAGATATTATAATCCATGATAACGGTAGCATTGCCTTTATCAGCAGGTAAAATTATAATTGTTTTATCTTTTTTTAAAGACATTAATGCTTTTTGTTCTATTGAGCTTATGTTTTGTTTAATTTTGAAAGGTTTTTCTAGAATTATTTTTGATCTTATACGAAATCCTTCCCGTTGTGCTTCCGGTAAATTTTGAGTTGTTTCTTCTATCTGTGGAAAACAGTGGCGAAAGTACGTGTTTTCCTCCTGAGAATCAAGAAAAAATTACGTTAATTTTCTTGTAGGCGTGTTCATATATTGAAGTAAATATTTTCAAAATTCCATTATTAAGTTATAGGGTACCGCTTGTTTTTCGATTGTATGACGTTGGTTGTTCGAAATTGATTGATTGTCAAATTTGGTTTCAGGGAAGAACACCAAACTTACCAACCTATGGTTCTTTTTAAGAGAACCAAACATCACAAAGGATCCATCTACTGTTTGGCTTGGTCGCCAGAGGGCGATTTGATGGCCACCGGTTCCAACGACAAGACTGTCAAGCTGATGCGTTTTAATGTGGACACTTCGAATCTCGAAGGCGAAGAGGTGTGTATGCAGAGTTTTTCTGATTTTCACACTTTTATTTTTTTAGAATGGGTTGCATACTTTTGCAAACTATAATCAGGAGAGATTTAAACGTTATATCGTTGATTAGTGTATACAAATATCCAGGGTGTCCCATAAGCACATGATCGAAAAGGCATTGCGAGTAGGCCTGGGTAATCTCTCTGAGTTGATAACTCATTTATTAAAGCGGATTGAAGCTGTACGAGACCCGAGACTGGAATTTTAAAAAACCTCATTTTTAACTCATCGTTTAAGTAACGTTGTCCTAGCAACGAAAGGGGGAGTTACTGCCCCGGTGCGTTGTGTTGGCGCACCAAGCCATTTGCGCAGCACCGCGCCAACTTTTATTAAGACTAAACGTCTGTATCCTCAGATATTGAGCTCTTCAAAAAATATGTATTTTGTTAATAGCGAAGGAATGATAAGGTGCATTTTAATGAAACTGGCTGTAAATGTAGTACACATATGTAAAACTCGTATTTTGATGAAACAGCTGAGTTCATTCACTTTGGGCAAGTAATTAATTCTAAAGGGTCGTGGTACAAAAAGTTTTTGTGGATGGAATCAATTATTTCCACTTTGTGGAAGCTCGCGTGAGATCGTATGCGTTTACGCTGCGCGGCACCGAGTTCGAGACGTTCCAGATTAACGGACATTTGCACGGATAAAAAGGACTTTGCGAGAGACTGGACAATCTGGTGTCCGTTTAATTGATCGTGCGAGTCGTCGTCAAGAACGAAATGCGATCGCTGAATTTTAAGCTTGATTCTCATGAGTTCGGAAAGCGGATTGTGGATCGTGCGCGCGCAGCCCACTACTACCACTACTACACGCGGCAAAAATAACGCAGTTCACATGTATTCCGTATTATATATCCGTATACCCTCAACAGTGTTGACAGATMTTTCTTGAAACAAGCTGTTAGATAATTCTCGAGTACTTCACTTCAGTAAGTGAAATGAGGTTGTGAGGCGAAATATCACATTTTTCATTTGATCACCTTTGATTGGCGTCAAGTTAAAAGTTGAAATTTCTTCTACCCAGCAGTTTGAGGTAGATGAAATGGACGTTTCAAACCAAAAGTTAAATCCGCTTTCAAAATCCGCAAAAACTATATAAATTAAAAAAGAATTTCGGTTCTAATGGAAGATTTGCCTGTCGATCTTGCTCAGATGTGGTACTTGCATGATGGTGCTCCTCCGCATTTTAATGCTTCTGTGCTTTGAAAAACATCTGCAAGCTGGCAAAACAGAGCGGCCAAATAGCAACAAATAAAAGGAAATATTAAAGGTTGTCGAAGACTTCTACGAGTCACTATGCAGCGGTAAAAGGTTGTGAGCTTGGGCACCAGCATAAATAGAGATCAAAATCAAGGGTCCGAGGATATTCGAAATATTACCTATATACCCCGAAATAAGAGGGGCAACTAAAAGATAGGAAAAACATTGAAGCAATTGGCGACGACGGCGTAGTTGTCGAATCCTAAAAAGGGGGCGGAACTACGTTATTAAATGCATTATGCAAGTTATTTTATGCTTGCCTACAAACTGGGACATCTTTCCAGTGGGAGCGTATTCGGATCGATTATCATACTGCGTAAGAAACAAGATATCACCAACCTGCAAAATTACTGACTCATTAGTTTGCTATCGCATATCAAGTGCTATCGTACAAATGAATTTGACCTATATCAACCCCGCGAGCAAGCTGGCCTTCGAACTAGATTTAGCACAAATGACCATCTACAAAGAGTCAAGTCCCTTATCGAAAAATGCATCGAATATAATAAACCCCTATGCATAATTTTCGCCGATTACGAAAAGGCACGCAATAAACCCGCATAAAATTCTTCAAGCTTTTGCTGAATGCCGTATCGATTACAGATGCATCTATCTCATTAAACACGTGTACCAAAGATCAAGACACCACGAATATATCACCAAGAATATATGTTCAAAAAGGCCAACTTTGATGACATGAGCGTGAGCCTAGATGGCGAAAACCTAAATCATCTGAGATTCGCCGACGTTATCTTGATTAACGCATATAGTATGGACGAAGCAAAACAAATGCTAGGAGGCTCACGGAAGGGTCAAACTCTGTTCGAGTCAAGATTGTTGAGTCCAACAGAGTTCAAATCCGGGTTGTAGATAGCGGTGCGGGGGGGCTGTCCACAGGGCAGCTGCCTTCCCCCCCCCCGCCCTAAGCCTCTCAGAATTACCCCTGTGGATATGCAGGGATGCCGCCGCTACGCTGAAGAGGATGGATTGCGGCTTCACGAGGCGCCACGCTTACCCATGTTTGGGACACGAAAGAATCCACCCCCACCTGACGTCCCCACAGGTTGCAGGTCAGGTTGCCCCCACCTCACGGTGGACTTAAGTTAGGAAGGGAGTTCAAGGTGGAAAACCCAGCAAAATAAATCTGACGGCCCGAAAGGGGGTGCAATGTTGGTACACCGACGGCTCACGGGCGCCCAGTACAGGATTGTCAGGGGCGGGAGTGTACCGGCAAGACACCAATCGGGAGCATCCATTTCGTTGGGAGGTTGGACGACAGTCTTTCGGGCGAACTTATATGGAATCCTCGAAGGTGCCACAAACAAGGAGGTCATAGAAGGAGAGATTGAGATCCACTCTGACAGCCAAGCGGCCCTAAATGCTTCTCAGTGTTAGGATGGACAGTAGACTGGTCCAGGAGTGCTGGGATGCCCTGAGTAAAGTGGCAGAACAGAAACAGGTAAATTTGGTCTGGATTCAGGCGCACATGGGGTTCGCGGGGAACGAGCAGGCCGACGCATTGGCCAGGCGCGGATCTTCTGAGAGCCCGATAACTGTCGAACCTCACATAGGCCTAAGTAAAAGACAGCTAACAAGCTAACTCAACGATTGGGCACTTAAAAGTACCACAGAGTCATGGAGAAAGACGGAAGAGAGTAGACAAGCCAAAGAGTTGTTTGGCATGTCAGGCGAGGCCAAGGCAACGTCCAAATTGCTGATGACAAGGAGTTGCTGGGCCCTGAGAACTCTGGGGTTGGGGTCATGGCAGGCCACTACGGTCTGAACAGACACTTACACCTACTTGGAATCGGTGTTAGCCTCGTATGTCCACAATGTGGAACGGCAGGAGACATCGTATTACCTTCTAGGAGTATGCCACCACTGGTCGTCCATGAGGAGGCGCCTTCTGGGGCCTCCACACCCTCCTGCACGGAGACCCTCCTGTCTTCCCTAGAGTGGAGACGGATCTTGCCCTTGGTCAGGGAGACGGGGCGCCTGGGTGGTGAATAGGAGGGGTAGTAAGGCGGGGGTGGATGGAGGGGGAATGGTGAAAAGGGCCTCTAAGGCTTACTCGCCGGACCCATTTGTCATGCCTGAGGCAATCAAGATAGGCGGAGTCAGCATAGAGCAAGTAAGCTCTTATAAATACCTTGGTAACGAAATCTCTCTTCGTAGAAACAACCAAACCCGTAAAATATCGGGAAGACTAGGCCTAACATGGGCGGTCTTTGGGCCATAAAGCTGCGCAATATCTTCAAATCACACATCCCAATAGGCTTAAAAATAAAAGTGTTCGACCAGTGCGTGTTGCCTGTGCTGATGTACGGGACTGAAGCACCGACCCTCACAAAGAACATAACAAATAGAATAAGTAAAATAGAGTGGTCGAGACAGGCATTTTCCCAAATATAACATTAAGGGAACGGTCCGGAATGACGGACTCGATTACCCGTATAACAACCTTAAAATGGAACTGGGTCGGTCATGTGGCGCTACTTTTGGACAATTGCTATACAAAGACGATCCTTGAGTGGTGACCGCGCCAAGTAGAGGCCGTCCCCCAACCAAATGGAACCCCGACATCAAAACGAGAAACAGCAACTGGATTGAGGCATCGTAGGATCGGCAAAGATGCAGAAAGGTACGGCAGACCAGTAGTGGACGCGATCGGTTTGATAATACTGATGATGAACGGCCCATTTAAGTAATAGTTTTCCTCACCAGTGGATCAGAAAAATAAGGAGAGATGTTCCTGTCCATTGGCCTCCCAGGACCCCCGACTTATCGCCATTAGATTTTTTGTGGGCAGCCTTAAATATAAAAGTTAAAGCCACTTCTGGGGAATCTCATCAACAGCCAGTCTGTAGAATAGAAAACGAGGTAAACATACTACGGGATGATCCAGAGAAGAATCCAAATCAATTTTAATCGAAGAATGGAACTATGCATCCATGAAAATAGCGGGAATATCGAACATATTTTGTAATTTATTTTATTTGTGTTGTATTTTGTATGAAACATAATGGGTCATTGGTAACAATCGCAAGTCTAATTTTTGAAATAAATAATTATATTTTTTAGGTTCTCGGCTGTTGATTGTTAACTCACGTCTCAGTTTTGTCGCCACGACACCGACGGAAATGCATTTTAAGAATTAACTGCTGAAATAGAATTATAGTTTATCGTTTGCAGATTTTAGTTTCATCATTTTGGTCCTTTTTTATTAATAATAAACGTCATTCGAAACGAATTTGTGAGATTGATTGACGAACGCTGAAAGTTTTATAATTAATTTATGCCTCGACTATCACATTTGCAGTTAATGTATAACATTGTTAAGTGGCCCGAAAACAGAAATATTTTTTTAAAGCAAAAAAGCAAAAAAAGCAAAAAAAGCAAAAAAAAAGCGCAATTTGCGCAAAAGCTATTAACGCTATACAATTTTGCAAAAAGCACAAAAATTTGAAGAAAGGATTAGTGTATCAACTTAAAAAAAATAAGTTGACTCTAGCTACCAAATAAAAAGTTCTGGAATTTTTTGTACCACGACACTCAAGAATTTATTGCTTGCCCAAACCGGATGAACTCGATTGCTGCATCAAAGTATAAGTCTTAAATAGCATAAAATTCACAGCGAGTTCTATTAAAATGCATCGTACAATTATCCCAATAATGCAAAAAATATATTTTTTAAAGAACTTTGTTAAAAATTAAGTGAGATCGTCTTCTTTTGATCCAAAAAATGTGGCAGTACCCTTTTGATGATATGCTTACATTGCGTTTCATATTTCTTAGGTTGAACTATCCATGCACGACGGAACAGTCCGTGATCTGTGCTTCTTGGAAGATACGACAAATAAATCAAGTTTGCTGATCAGTGGTGGAGCAGGTGATTGTAAAATTTACGTGACTGACTGTGCTACTGGAACGCCCTTTCAAGCACTTAGTGGACATACAGGCCATATTCTCGCCTTATACACCTGGGGTGGTAAGTTTTTCAAGCAAATTTATTTTTGGGCGTGAGATTCACCTTTCAGGGTTTAAAAATATCTGCTGTTAATTTGAAAACGTTCCACCTTTAATAGCTTTCTTGCAGTTAAAAATATGAAAAATCGTGGTACACGTCAATTTTATTTGGAAGGGGGACACTTTAAGCGAATATTTTTAGCTTTATTGTTTCAACACCCTAGGAGGGGGTAGATGTCACTCTTAGAATCTTAATGCCAATGGGGGTCAAGTTGCACATTCAATCCTCTTTACACTAGTTACTACTTTGTTGCTTGTTGTCGAGAGGTTTTCGAATAATCGCTTTTCAATGTTGCGAAAACAATTAAACTTGCATGCATTAAGATTTTAGTTTTCAAATTAGTGTTTAAACAAAAATTATGGCATTGGCTTTCTTTACAAATTATTAGAAAATTAGATTACACCGTTAATGCCAACTGCATTTTCGAAGAAAAATTGTCCGATAATGCGCGACCACAATTCCCACCAAATAGCGACTCTTTTTAGATGCATCTGTGTCTGAACGACCACTCGTGGATTTTCGGAACTCCAAATGCGACAATTTTGTCGATTAACGACGCCATCAAGATGAAAATGGGCCTCGTCACTAAAGATGATTTTCGTTGAAAAATCACCGTCCAATTGCCGTTGTTCCAAAACCCAATCAACAACGGCTCTTCGTTGCCCATGGTCTTCCCGATGAGCTTTCTCTCTTCGAGCTCTATGCCGAATTGATGTGGTTGGGTTTTTCTCAACATTTGCACGTACTGCTGCGATATTTTCAGTCGAGCGACCAGGGCGAACGCGTGTTTCTATTTTCACTTCATGAACAGACCCAGTTTTCTGAAATTTCTTCATAAATTTTTTCACAGTGGCTTCAGTTGGAGCATTCCGATGGCGGCCCATAATTGTACGCATTTGCGAACTGTGGCTGCAAAACTTCCAGCACTTTGATAATAACTTTTATCAATAAGAATTCGTTGTTGAGCATTGTACCGCTTAACTTTACTTAACCTCCTGCTGTCTACTAACGAACCTCCTTGTGGTGAATCAATATGATCCACCACAGCCTTTTTTTAATGTCAAATTAAGACGCTACAAATGGCGCGCAATTCAAAACCGTCGCTCTTAAGGTGCGTCCAGACAGCAGCGCAATACCGCGCCAAACATTCGCGAACGTTCACACACAATTTGCGCCTTGCGTCTACATTGTACATCTACATGTTTGCATTTGCCAAGGTTCCATCTTGCGCGGCGAAATAAATGTGCTGTTTATCATGGATGATGCTAAAATTGCAGCGACAGTTTTCATAATTTTGTGTGATTTATCTAAAAGGAAAAAGAGAGTGAATAGGCGTTGTTGGACGACCCGTATATTTCAGAGCAGAAGTGCTTATACAGGAAGCTTATACAGTGGCAGTGATTTGGTATGCGACCTGGCAATTGAAGACACTGGACAATTTAAAAATCTCTGTTGCTTGTCTAGGCAAAGCTAGTAAATGCAAACCATTTGCTGGAATAAACGTCCTTCTGTTCTAAAATGTATCAAGTTCTTTCATTTAAGTTTATGTGAATGTAATATATGAAAATACCTTGTCTAGTTCTTGTTGTAGGTTTAATTTTGGATCTTTCCCTTCGAAATGAAGACAACAATTAACTTATTTTTGCTTTTATTTCGTATTTTTTATTTTGTAAGTGGTAATTAGTATTACCGCGATCCCATAATTCACGCTGATTTTCATATAAATTTATCAGATGTAATCCAGTCTGTCATTTTCTTCAGACTCGCACAAGCGCGCATAGTAAACTGCTACTAGCGTCCAAACTAAATTTGCCCGAACACGAACATTTCTTTGATGTACCGACATCAACCGGAACATATTTGTTCGCGCGCGATGTCGCGCGGCTTTGCGGGTTCTTGCACAGGATACCGTCTAAATTAGTCATATTTCTTGAAATTTGCAACGTTCGCGAATGTTTGGAGCGGTATTGCGCTGCGGTGTGGACGCCCCTTTATTGGATAACCTTTTATATTGGTTACAAGTACAAGACAAGTAAAGAATGGAACAAAATGATAATCATTGTACAATGTTCTCGCGCATCGTTTTAATGTGAATAACTGCGTACTCAGCATATGTCCTGGTCAGTAGAGGTGGTACAAGACCGTGAGTTGAGTTAATTCATGCATTCAGGTCAGTGTTTGTTGAGGAACGAGTTGAGGTTTTGTGGATGTGCGGTCATTGCCTTTTGACATGCAGCTCTCTACTATTGAATAGCCCTGAGGAAGACTGAATATATAGTCGAGACGTAGGCTTTTTCAAGAAAATAAAGAGTTTCTGTTCACCGTCCCAAACCCGCTAAACTTAATACCAGTATTTATAAGCCAGGGACGCTAAGGATGAGAATGATTATTATAAACTTTTTTTTCTGGTTTTAGTAGGTTCGTTTTGTTTCCATTTGTGATTTTGCATAAATTTTTCTGCATTGAAAGGTTTTGTTCTGCTTTTAATAAGTTTTGTAAATGACACGTAAGTACACCTTAAGTTGAAAGTTAGACGTCTGAAATTTGACATATTAAGTCATCTTCACCTGTCATCTTTAAGGATATTTGTTGTACAAATAATCATAATTTATGAAAAATAGTTTTTTTAACGTAAAAACCGGTACACATCGTATTGCCTTATAAATCGTTTAACAGCGAATTGTTAAAAGAGCTACCTAATACGGTATGTACTTTTTTTACTGTCCATATGAAAAACAAACGTTGATGATGGTTTCTAAGAAACGAAACGATGGGGTACATTTGAATCAACACTATCTTATAGATCTCGAAAAGGTGCCACGTGAAAACAATTTTTTTTATATGATTTGAAATAACTTCAAAAATGAAAAAGAACAAAAATCCGAAAACCCACGTTTTTCTGAATATCTGAAAAATTTAAATAAATACTTCTTTTTTGAAAACGCCATGTATCTGACCATTAACCGACTTCGGATCTCTCACGGTTTCGGAGATCCCCATGCAATGCATTCTTATCTTGGACACCCTGTATACATATATTTAACCAGCAGTAAAAGAGGTCGATTCCTCGTTCAATTACGGCAAATTTTACTCTCCGAGAACAATCAATTTGCGTTTTATAACACAACTATTTGACCGAAAAGTCTCCCCAGGGATGATAAATATTATGTATTTTCGACGTTATCATGCGTTTAAAATTTCGAAAAGTTCAATAGAAAAACTAACCAGAAATACGAGGTAAACCTACTGCTTATCAACAAATATCTGTCTGGATGCATGCTTTCCGTTGTGATTTTTTATAAAAATTTATGACAATCGTTTTTTTCAAGTAAAATGTTTACTTATTTTTATACACGTTTTGCAATAGTCTTTTGTGATGTTCGCAGTTTATTTCTAATGACCGTGAAACTGCGTTCAAATATGACTCAATAGCAATGCTAGAAGTGTATCTTTAGGAACTAGTCACGTGACTAGTTAGCAAGTTTTTTAGACATCTAAATGTGAACAAGGTTTTCAATTTAATTAATGTTTTTCAAGACATTTTAAATGGAAAGACGCCAATTTTGAAACACCTTCTATTTTTTTGTCAGTTGTATCTTTGAAAACTCGTTTCAATTTTTGTCAAACAATGGAATTTATTCAAATTAATAAAATATATATTCAATTTAATGCAACGTTTTAGTTCGTCCATAAGGGCTTTGAAAGATTGGATCTACAACAAATGATTTTTAATTTTTAGGTGCAATGTTTGTTAGCGGCTCTCATGATAAGACTGTTCGCTTTTGGGACCTGCGTACTCGGGGCTGTGTCAACATGGTCACTCCCATAACTCAAGTGGGCGGAGTGAGCGGACGTCATGGCTGTCCCGTTGCTAGCTTGTGTGTGGATCCGAGCGGGCGGCTTCTTGTGAGTGGACATGAAGACGCGACTTGTGCTCTATACGACATCCGGGGAGGACGAAATGTGCAGTGCTTTAGACCACACTCCCAGGACGTGCGCAGTGTCCGCTTTTCCCCATCTGCATACTATTTGCTGAGTGGCGGATATGACAATAAGCTGGTGCTGACCGACTTGCAAGGTAAAACATGTTACGTATTATTTTAGGAGTTGGCACAAATGTAGTCTCGATTTTCAATGAATATGAAGACAATGAATTAAGCAGGTTTAGATTTGACATGTCATTGCAAAATATTAAGCTTTAGGGTGAAAATGTCATTTGAAACCATCCGAATTTTTTGTGTTTTGTTGTTTATGCACGAAAATAAGATTGTCCGATGCTAGTCGCTGCTTAATCGTGTTTTGGGTGTGAACAATGCAATATATTATAAATTAATTGAAATTTAAATTGATTGAAAATATTAAAAAAATAAAACTCCACATGTAAATTTGAAACAAATTGAAAAGTGCGTAAAACTATTGTTTTCTGCTATAGACTTAAAAACAAAAGAAAAAATTTGAGATAATGTTCAGGGTGATTCAAAATTCGCGCCATTCCTCTGGAGGTGTTGTCTGGCGGTGTTTGAGGAGTACAGAAAAAATTGTAAAAAAAATTGTTATTAAAAGCTGAGAAATTTGCAAAAAACGATATTGGAAAAACGGCAACAATGCTTTTCAAGGTAATCTGCCTAATTAACATCACGTAAATACCTGTTGCATGGTAATTATTAAAAACTCCGGTACCCATGGAATTGGACAGAAAGTGACAATGAAATAGACAAGGATAAACGGCAAATTCAACAGGAATCGTGAAAACACGGAACGTACTTTTTCGAAATGTCAATTATTGCCCTCATAACCTGAACTATTAATTTGTTTACAAATTACAAATAAACGTACATTTGATTCTTTAACTCCAATCATGTGTGTAATCCTTATTATCCAATCTTCTTCAGCAGCTTCTCGTATTCGTTTAATTAGCTACTGCTCAATTTGTACCAGTGTTCAGTTAGCGATTGGTTTAATGTGTCCTTATGCTCTTTTTATCGTACTTGTAACAATCTGTTTTTTTTTACTTTTTTGAAATAAAAAACATCATTGCCGCTTTGACTTTTGATCAAAAAATTATAGAAGAAAACGTTTTTAATATCTAAAATTTTGGTCATTTGAAGAAAGGATCGTAATTTTTCTTTTTCAATGATTAATTATTCCAATATGCTACCAATTAAATATGGAACGATCTCAAAATAAAGCTTAATAACAAAGTTGAAATTCTATTTTCAACTGTTATATGTAATTTTTTAGAAATTGTCAAAAAAAAATTATATATTTGTCTCGTACTCTCCAAGTGAGCCCCTATTACCCCTCAAAAGGAATTACTTTAATTTTGAATCACCCTGTATATGAAATTTACCTCTAATTCAATTTATCTTTACCGCTTTAAGCAATTAAGTTGCCTCAAACTGATACCAAAAATTCTCTCTCCGATTGATTTTTGGTTTATTCTAACTGGCGCAGCCAAATTCCAATTTAAAGATAACTTCTCAAACTCAAACAATTTTCAACGTATCCTTAAATCGACTTTGATATGGAGCTAAGAGGAATGAGGAAGTTTTAAAGTTATCTTCAAATTTCCTTTTATTGAGATTTTTCGTGAGTTAATGCCACTGGAGCTGGACTGGAACTAAAGATACTTTTGTCAAACGATAGTTTAGAGATAAGCTTGACTTGAAAACAGATGGATTTCTTGATCAAATTGCTCTTTGACTTCACTCGCTCAATTTACACGCAACTAATGCATTCTAAGTATCTTTAAATCGACTGACTGGATTAAGAAATAGCAATATCAAATTAAAGATAATTTCGATTGAAAAATCAACTCAACCCGTAACTCAACTAGTGGTAAAAATAAATGTATCCTTAATTTTACGGAAAAATTATCTACTTTCGATTGAGCTAATATGAAAATCTTGAGATCAAATTGAAAAAGTGTGGGCGAAGGTTGCAAAAGTTGAAAGATTCACGCTGATTCAACCAAAATTGACGTTGATGATTTAAAGATAATCAGGTTTTCTAAGTACATGAAAATTGTGGAAACTTTGCCACCAAGGTGTTTAGTTAGGTTCAGTTCAACTGACTCAAACTGTCCCTAATTTATCTCTACATTATACGAAAACCATAGTAGGATTTAAAGGTAACGGATTTTATTGCTTATTGCTGTGCTTTTGTGCTTTCAATTCAAAAGCACATTTTGTCAATTTGCTTCTTAAAACTTTTCTCAAATTAAAGATTCTTCACTTTCACGTAGGTGATGAGTCGGTTATCTTTAAATCCCCCTGTGAATGATGAAAGCTGGACTAAAAACAGCGCAAAATAAATCTTTAAATTATTCACTGATTGTTTTTATGCATAGGAAAAATTTAATAAAGATAAAGAAGAAAATAAAAAAGACACCAGCCATTGCCCAAAAATGTATTTCAATTTCTAAACTAACTCTTAAATGCTCAAAAGTTTTCAATTTGGTTCTCTCACGAAAACTGAATGGTGGGTGACGACGGCGTGGGCGGTTAAAATAGTGGTAAAGATAGTAATGGTAACTAAGTGAAAAATTTTTGAAATTGGGCAATTTCAGAAGGCGAAAAACGGAAAACGGCAATTTTTCCAAAAATCTTTACAAAAAATGTTATTAGGTTTTCTATAAGGTGAGCATAGACTTAATCGGCGAAGTGGCAGTCCTGGTATCAGATCGCGATGTAAATAATTACCTTATCACAATCCGAGGGAAACATTGACGGTTGATCACTATACAGTTCGATCAGTTTATAAATTCGCGAGTTCAACTACTGATGGTGGCCCTGCGAAACGTCAAGCTACTCGTTGTCGAGTGACAGTTGAGGCCTTTTTATTTATTGGAGTTGATGACATTTATAACATTAAATAATACTCGCACACTTTTGGATCTGTATCTATTAGAGGTGGGTTAAACGAGTATTTTACCTAACAAGGTTACAACGTTCCGGTTTCACGTCGGTATTAGGTTTCAAAATGAACATCTTACTTTTAACATTTTTCATTAAACATGCGCAATGATGATGATGTTGGTAGAAATAGTAATGACAAATAATGATTTAGTTTATTAAAAGAACAATTTTTAACTAAAGCTCTTAGATAAAATAAAATATCCTAAAATTGAAAACAAAACATGGGTCAGCAGTACCTGCTTACAGAACAAAAGAACTGATAATAAAGATAAAGTATATAAATAAAAACTGAGTAAAAAAAATATACGCTTTATTTGCAAAAATGTTTAAAAATTTAATTTTCATTTAAAAATAAAAAAAATTGGATGATTGACAGATGCTTTTTACTGAGTTCGAAGTATTACCCGAGTTAATTTTGGTACCACCGAAAAACACTTAAAAAATATGTCTACGTTACAACGCCTATATAACTAACTTTCATTTCATCTTGTGACTGAATTTATATCTAAAAGTGGCAAGCTTGCTTAAATGCAGGTGCACATTCTGCTTACAACGTTTATTATTTTACATTTCAACTGTGATTTTATCTTAGACTCTAAATTTGGTCATAGCTCATATGCAAGTGCACATTCGGCTCAGTTTGCTGATTATAGGCATATAACATCTCGAACTAAGTTTATTAATGAGAGAAATCCCTTTTTTTAAGATTTATTACAGAACGTCAGAAAACTAAATACTTCTAGGCTAAAAATGCTGAATTAATATCTAATGCATATCTGAACGATTATGGATTCTGGAGAACTGAACAGTAATTCTTATAAACGAAAAGTGATAAACACAATAATCAAGACAACACGCCACTATACATATTTTCCGTTGACAAATGTTTACTGAAACTGCTGCAGTTGGATAGAGCTCGACGATGCCGCATCGATTTTGTGCTCACGCGAACCATTTTTTCAGGTTTATGAGACGGTTCCAAAAAAAAACGTTTAAATCGGCAAACGGCTGCAGCTAGATAGATCGCTCGACGTTGTCGCATCGGTTCTGTGATGTTGCGACCGGCTTTTTCGGGATTATGAGACGGTTCCAAAAACCACCGGTTAAATTTGCTAGCTGTAACTACGGTTTCAGGTTACACGTTTGTAACAATGTTATTTTAGCGGTTACGTTAAATACCGACCATCCCTAGTATCTATTGCTTTAAAATCTTGCAAGAGTTGATTAGAACAAAACAAATTACAATCAGTTGTAAACATCAATGTAAACAAAACAAGTGTCAAATTACTACTTAACGTTTTTTACACCCATAATCATTGTCACAAATAACGAAATAGAGAGGGAATGCCTTCCCAAAAATGATTAAGAAGACCTTATTAGTCAACAGCATCTTTTTTTTCAATGAATTTAAGCAATTAAAGTAAATTCTTACTTAAATAATATAAAAAAGGCAAATGCTTTAATTGAATTATTGAATTATTTATCAATTGATTTTAATTTTCACAGGTGACTTGACCCTACCGCTTCCAAGTGTTGTTGTGGCACAACATTCAGACAAAGTGATATCTGGGAGATGGCATCCAAGCGAGTTTTCGTTTTTGTCAACTTCAGCTGACAAAACATCAACTCTGTGGGCTTTACCGCCAGTCTGAGGCTTGCAATCTACATAGAGATGTCTTACGCAAATTGGGCTCTCGTTTGTTTTTTTTTGTGGACTTCATTAACGGGATCTTGGTTTTAATCTGTAAAAAATGTATGTTTTTAACATTTGTCTGATCACAATTTTTCAGCACTGCAACTGCTAAATTGAAATTTTGCAACTTTTTAAAAATTAGCTTTAGAATCTCAGAAATAGTACTTTGACGGAAGTTCTCTCTTCGAAATAATTTTCTTTCAACTAGAATATTGTCACAAAAAAATTATAAATGATTTACAAAGTTGTTTTGTGTCAAGTTCTGCAGTTAGATTTAATTGTAAACCTTTACAAAAAGCCAAAAAATCTTCAATCTGAGGGTGTAAATATAAATTTAACGTTTTTTTTTCTAAAAAATCGACCGTTTTCTTACATCTTTGTGAGATTTGGGATTATTGTCTTAAAATTTGAAAACCTGCATGCCAAATTTTTACAAAACGTGGAACCATAGGGTCTGAGTCATTAATTATTCTTCAAATCGGGGTTTATACTCTTAGGCTCTTCTACGATTATGGTTTTAGTTCGAACCCAATGCGAATATTCAAGAAATATATCTAAATTATTAACAATTTACTAGAACAATTTGAACGTTGCTTTTAATGTTATTTATTTATAGCATGAACAAATGTAAATAAACACTTAATCTTATAATAATAATAGTATATGATCGGAAGTAATTTCACTAATTTGACCTGGTAACAAACAGATACATATTCAAATCTGGGAGAAGAGATCAATACAAATGTTTTATTTATTTCATTGAGATTTTGTTAAAGCAAATTTCACATTGGTTTAAAAAAGTAAAACAATGAAATCCGATCTTGGTCCACTCGACTCATTTTTATTTGTAGAAGATTTTAGTTTATTTAATTTTAGCTGGTAAGTGTTTGCATTAATTATATGTGTTATTCAAATAAATGACTAATGGAAACTAGTGCTTTTTTGTCTCAGATCGATTTAGCTTAATGGAAGTTTACTTTCAGTCCGAATACTGAGTGAACATACCACGATTTGATGGATTTTTCGAGTTTCTAGATTTTTTCTGGAACGGTGTTTAAGCAAATGCTCACAACAATTGACAGCTTTGTCGACTACTTAAAGCTGGGTTGACACTTTAGAATTTTCGTGCCCGAAAGTACTTGCGGCAACTAAACTTCTCATCTGTACACGGCACAAAAGTTTAGTTGCCGCGTGTCTGAATTGCTTCGTATACTTGGGGAATAAAAACAAATGTGTTTTTTAGCACATAGTAAAAATACGAAATTTTGTACAGTAAAACGTTAAAAGAATACGTACATAATTTACGAGCTGCAAACTAGGCGAAGGGCGGGACGAGGGAGCGGTAACGCGGCGCATCCTTCATAGTGGTGGTTCTAGGGCGTAGACGGACGACAGCCGGAATCGAGAAGAAGAAGAAACGATTCATATCATTCCAGTGTCTCTGCAGTTATCCAGTCTTCACTCTTGACATTGACAGAAGGAAGTATCCCTGGGGGCCTCCCAGGGAGTCTCACTTGTCTCGCCTTCCCCAATAGAAAAAATGCCAATGAGCACGCAATCCCTCTAAACGCTGTTGCCCGATTGTGTTAACTAACTTTAACAACAGTTTAGTCTCGCCTACCTCATTCCTTTATTATATTGGCGGACTGTACCAACCTTTTGGTATAAAATAATACACATAAGAATCGCTCGTTTTTCACTGTACTTGTCTTTATCTATGTCGTAGTAGTAGTAGTAGTAATAGTGTGGGGGCACGTGATGGGTCCGGTGAGCCGGTCTTAAAGACCCTTTTCGCCATTTTCCCTACATCCGTCCGCACCTTTCCTCTCTTGATCGTCGCCACCCAGGCGTCCCGTTTCCCTGGCAAAGGATAAGGATCCGTCTTCACTCTAAGGAAAGCAATTTGATGCATCAGAGTGTGTAGGCCCCAAGGAGGCACCTCTTAATAGGCGAGCAGCAATGGTAGCCTCCTAATAAATGATATAATTTTTCCTCGTGTCCTCATAGTAGGTGTAGGTGTCTGTTCAGACGACAGCGGCCTACCATGACATCAACCAGAGTACTCAGGGCCCAGTGACTCCTTGACATCATCAATTTGGATGTTGCCCTGGCGTCACTTAGTATTCCAATCAGCTCTTTCGCTTGTCTACACCCCTCCGCCTTTTTCCAATTCTCGGTGGTACCTGTAAGAGCCCAGTCGTTTAGAGCGTTCTCGCTACCTGTGGGTTACTTAACCCTATGTGAGGTTCGACAGTTATCGGGCTCTCAGAGGATCCGAGCCTTGTCCATACATCGGCCCTCTTGTTTCCCGCAAACTACATGTGCGCCGGAATCCACACCAGAGGTTCACCCACTATGAGTTCCCACGAGTTCTGGAAGGCTGATGTTATGCCATCTTTAACCTTCTTACCTCGAGATCCAGCTCCTCTCTGGAGGTTACGTCATCTTTAGAGGATTCCATGGACTGGCTAAGTTGGTCCCTGTGTTCGGACCAGTCAGCTTTACTCGGATTCCTCTCTTGGGTCCTTTTTTGGTCTTGCTGGACCGTCTCAATTTGGAATTGGATCATGCGATGGTCTGACTCCATCATTCTTCATCTCCACTCTGTTGGAGTACAGAGCAACACCCCTAGTGTTTGTATCGGAACTTCCCCATATGACGGTATGTGCGTTCGCATCGATACAATACTCGACATTTTTGAAAATTGTATAAGGTTAAGCATGTCTTCGGTGGGGAGAAGTTGCGCATCTACTCCTTAGAACCTTACGGTTATTAACTTTTTCTCATGTTCTTACTAGAAGCTACGAACTGCTAACAAAACATCCCTGGTATCTAACTGCGCCACAGGGGTGACGCATAGATCCTCGGATATAATCATGCAGCTTCGGGGCCTGTCGTTGGGGGGCGATCCGACTATGGTGTTATAGCCCGCCACCCTGAGGCCTCTGATTTGGTCTCTGTAGACATAAGGTTCCTGTAGGTATTAGTACCCCCTGTCTCTTCGTTCCTGCTAGAACGCTGGACAGTTCGGGGGTGCACCGTAAAAGCTTTTATGATGACCAACTCATACCACACCACCCAGCCGGCGCTCGCCAGCTCTCTCCTGGTTTCCCGTTGTGCTTCGGTTTAGAGGTGTCTCCAACTTTTGACACCTAATGCTCGGTTTTGCAATCCGAGTATCTTCACCACCTTTCCTTCTTGAAGTTTGGCCTCGCACCTGAGCACGAAGCCGATTTCCGCCGGCCATGGGGCTTTCGACGCCAGCACTGGAGCAAACGTCAGGTTGTCACACATAAGCCTTGTTCTATGGGTTGTCCCTAACCAGCGGCCATGCAGCTTTGAGCGATCCAGCCCTTGATCTCTCCTTTTCGGCGGTTACCAGGCCACACTCTGTTTACCTAAAGTTCCGAAAGCGAATCTCCGGCCCCGGGGGGACAGTGGAAGATCCCGCCTTCATCTCCATGAGATGAGCTCTGAGCGGCTCTACTTCCTCAGGCAGAACGTTGCCATCCGGACTGTTTGATCTGAAGATAACCTGGAGCTCTCTCCCGAGGTCCGAACTGTATGTCCCGGTACCAACAGCACCGGCTGTCGCCGAGGCGGTTCCCCTATGTGGGGGTGTTGCCATCTAAGAACGCAATTCACATGACACAAAAGACTATCGAGCGATTTCGTCTACTGTCGGTAGCAAACTGAATATTCATATACCTTTTCGAAAAAAGACACGGAACTACAGAACAAAGATGATTATATAATCATCTACTAGTTCGCCTTTTTTAACATTTTTGTAGAAAGTGCCTGTTCGCATTGCAATATTTCCAAAGACAAATTTCACGTTCCACCTTAACGAAAGTCAACAACAAGTAAACGAGAAATGCTCCAAGTGCTGATCATTCACTAATTTAATTTTAAATTTGGGCAATTGACATTTGTCTGAATCGAGTTCTGCTGCAGTCATGAATGCACAACGCCAAAAGTAAATACAGGGTGATTCAAAATTAGCGTCATTCCTCTGGAGGTGTTGTCTGGCGCTGTTATAGAAGTTCAGAAAAAATAGTAAAAGAAATTAATTGTTATTAAAAACTGAGAAATTTGCAAAAAACAATATCAGAGATACGACAGCAATGTTTTTCAAGGTAATCTGCCTAATTAACTTTGCGCAAATACCTGTTGCTTCGTAATTATTTTAAACTCCGGTAACCATGGAATTATACAGACTGACAATAAGATAGACAAGGATAAACGGTAAATTCAACAAGATTTGTTGACGAAATGTCAACCTGCGCTCATAACCTCAAATTCTGTGGGGTTTTGTGTTTACATAAATAATCTATACAACACCAAACATTTGAATGGTCAACTCCAAATAGTACTCCAATAGTACCTATGTAATCTCCTTATTATCCACTCTTATCAAGCAGCTTCTCTTATTCAGTTAATTAACTCCTGCTGGATTTGTATCTCCTTGTGCTTGTGTATCGTACAAACGTGGTAGGAATGTAGCCCTTCCTCGGTATTTATTTGGTGCTTGGGAAAGTGTCAGTTATTGTGCTCTGAGTGCCCCTGGAAGGCCCTGATTCGGTTATGGCCAATACTTGTTCCTCTGTGCCTGGAACCCGAACATCAATTGTCGTCCACTATCTTCCTGGAACCACTTTCCTCGCCCTTTGTTGGCGTGAGTTCTTTCAGCTTCTGCCATATTACTGTAGCACTTCCCCTGAACTAATCGCATATCCGCAAATTCGTGAAAGAAAATTCAAAGTAAGTCACAGTTTGACAAATTATTGTTATTATTGAGAAGGGCTATCCACCTGTAACTATCTGTTATTGACATAAAACATCATTGCTGCTGTGCTTTTTGATCAAAAGATTGCATAAGAGAACTTTTTGCACTCTCGTTCTGGGTCCGCCCGGCAGTGTTGCTTTTACGCCGATTCCCGAGGTTGCTTACAAAATATTACCTTCTTGTCGGGCTTGCTCTTTTTGTATTATATTTTTGTCAATTTCCGCTGGCTTATTGTTTCATCTGTTATCCCCAGATCTCATGCCTTAAATTAAATTAATTTTTAAAAATGTGTCATTTAATGCTCTATCTAGTGCTCCAGCTCAATGTGATGCTGAGAAATGGGCACAAAGTGGAAGAATGCATAACATTTTGGTCTAATCTTATTCAAGTTTCGCCTTTTATTTCAAGTTTAAAAATTTATTGTAAAGTAACCAAGAGGTCAATCGGAACCAAAGCTAAGCTGACTGTTTGCCTGGCAGAGAATATGTTTCTCTTTCTTTTCTCAATTTTCCTTTTTCTTGAATATTTGGTCCTTTTTACAAACAACGTAACGTAGTAACCCAACGGTGCAGTTGCATTACAGTCACCTACTTGATAAAACGTTACTCACAAGAAATGTGGTGACCTTTTATGGGACTTAAATTTTAACACCTAAAAAAATTTAGGTGTTAAAAGTCTAGTTCCGGGACTTTTAAAGCTTAAATCGATTCAAAGTGCGGCGTAGTGAGACGCGATGAGTTATAACTCATTAGCCGACAGAGCGGCCACAACTCAAAAGCCCAACTCAACACAATATTCTTTACGCATCGCTAG